ATATTATTTTGCTTTGTACCCGCAGGAGGAGAGTCATAAATTAGAGCTGTGAGAGTGACGGGAATGAGGAGCGGGGGGCTACAATTCCTCTCAATGGCCTTAGTTACATTCACTGCACCAACTTTATGAAAAATATCGATCAATTTTTCATTTGAGGCCATTTGAGGCTTTCATTACTCGTTCTTTACCAGCCCACTTCGCCTTCTTGGTGGTAGGAAGAACGAGTATTGATCTCAGTGCGTAACACCCTTTATGAACTGTTTGCACTTTCATCTAGAAACACATAACACCTACAGACATGATAGTAGTACGATTGTAGAGCAAAGACGCTGGTCTTAATTAAAGCAATGAACTATTTTTTCAGGTTATTTAATGGTATCATTTTGAGCACTCTTTTTTGAGGGTTTTCATTCTCTTTAGATTAGTGCAGGCTTACTTGTTTATGATATTATGTATGCTACTTCTGCAATTTTGTAACGCCTGTCTTTTCCCCCTTGACATTTCATACCCTTCCTGTTCATCAGATTCAACATCTTTGGCTAGACACCAAAAGCCAACAGCCCGATAAAAGTGGAACAGAAGAAATTTTAGACATCCATTTAATCATGCCTTAGAGAAACGTCAAAAAAAATGTGGCACAAGGTCATAAATTCAAAATGAGGTTATGTAGATAAGTTTGAGGATGAGACTTATCACGTTGGCGTTCTTCCGCGTCTACGCATAGATAGAGGTGTCTCTATGACACTATATTGACAAATCTATAATTTGCAATGACAACAAAATAACAACAGCAGTTTCTTACCTCCGCGAAGTCAGAAACAACCACAAGCCTACTGAAACAACACGTGTTGCCTGCCTGTTCCCCGTAGTAGTCTCGTTGCAGGGTATGTGCGTCAGGGGGCTAGCAGGGGCTAAGGGAGGGTAGGCCACTATCTGCACACAGACACTTGGCGGGAAGGCCTACCCGATGCGCCGCAGGCGTTGTCATTCGGAACCGTTCGTACTGCGACGGAGACCCTTGCGGCGAGTTGTGGCGGAGGGCGCCAGGAGGGTAGGCAATCAGTACACAACTGTCCCTTAGGTTTGGGGGGCCCCGGGCCCCATTGTGTTAGTTCAGATGCATCCGGGGATTATGTTGCAGAGCAGACCCTTGCCTTCTGCTTACACCCTGAAGGCTTCGGATTTCATATTACCCGGAAACAGAGATAACTACTTCCGGAAAAGAATGTTCTACAGGGTGGTCCACAGACCCCTTCCTTTATTTTGCTTATACTGTACCGGATGCAGGCGTGCGGACGGGTTGCATACTCGCACGCGGCCATAAGGCGCCCATGGTAAGCGACAGTAGGCAAGCCCGCCCGCACGCATGCATGCGGTACAGTATAAGCAAAATAAAGGAAGGGGTCTGTGGACCACCCTGTATAGTTGGGATTGGTCCGACAGCATCCTCTTTCAATCTCTCCGTCGAAATTTCACGCCGCCGGGCCATTTTAAGTGAGTTACGATGCTGGGGATATGCGGACAGGGAACCATGGTGCGAGCGCCGCAGTCAGTCGTAAGGCAAGAACGAAAACCGGTTACATGGGTTCGCCTGTCCACCGTTGTGTATCACACCAGCAGCGTGGCGATGTTGGGATCATCGCTGCGCCACGGCCTGAGATAGTGGTCAGAGGTTCTAATACCACTCCCGTTTTTTTTTCTCGTCGGCTGGCGAACCCATGTTACCGGTTTTCATTCTGCAGCGCGTGTCCGCATGTCTCTAGCATCGTGCCGTCGTAGCCGTGCCGGTAGAGCGATTGCTTCCTGAGCCGCAGGAGCGGGGTTCGAATCTTCGCTGAGTTCCAAATTTTTCCAAGGTTAAGAATTCGGAGTGGAATTCAAACCCGTGATTCCAACCGAGCTCTTTCGTGGGATGGCCTAAGGTGTAGTGGTTATGATATCCGCTACCCGGGGTGACGAGTGTCGGCACTTGGTTCGGTCCTCACTGGCAGCGAAAAAGCGGGTTGCCAGGAGGTCGGCGGATCATGCGGCGAGCGGTGGTCGCTCGTCGGTACATAAGCCCTGTGAAACTGGCTCCGAAAACAGCGTCCCATGACCTAAGCGGTAGGGGGTCAGTTCGGTTTAACCAACCGTACGATAGTCTCCGCAAAACAAATTGGGTACCCGTCGTTCCTGTTTAAGCGGTTAGGCGACAACCCTAGTCAACAGTTGGTCGGATCTGACAGTCTGGCTGCTGGCGTGGACACACCGGATCCCATCCGAACTCCGAAGTTAAGCACGCGGGGCCCCGTGTAAAAGCGGGGTGGGTACTCCCCTTTTTCACATTATTGAAAAAAAGTTTGGTCCCAAACGGCGCCTCTATAGTCTGTTCGGAATTCGCTGGATGGTGCGCACCTCCACCGCTCCCCCCTCGCCCTCCGCGCCTGCACGCTAGTGCGTAGGCAACCCATCGAACTACCGCGTATTCTTACGGACACCCGGTATGCTTATTCCTGATCTAAAGTTGTCGTAAATGCCCCAAAAAGCGCAAAATTTGCTGTCACATAACAAACTTATGTGGCGCAGTATTATCTCGCGGGTGTTGCGAGGGGAATGGCCGTGGCGGCTGGAGAGGTCGAGGACCTTATCTCCCCGCTGGGCTGCAACATATGTAGCGGTCCGCAGAGGACGGCGGGGGCGGGGCGAGCCGTCAGTCGTGTGTGGCGTGGCCGGTCGAACGAAGCGACACCAAAGCAGTCCCCGCTGCGGCTGCTGCGGCCCGCGGACGTGCTCCAGGGGGTAGTCGGGGTGCAGCGCCTCGCGCCCGGGCAACACACTGTGCCCCTGCTCCAGATGTCGTCCAGCTACGCGATGCTGCTGCTGCTGCTGCCGGTCGCCCTGGCCGCGCTCTGCCCCTGCCCGCCCTCCTCCAAGGACTCCCCCGTGTGCGGCACTGACGGCCGCACCTACGCCAGCGAGTGCGAGCTGCGGTGCGCCGGCCTGCCCGGTGAGTCCCCGCCTTCGGCCTGCAGCTCCAGTGCGAGGCCCGCTGTACAATGACTCGTGTTGCCCCCAGGACTCGCCGCCGACCACCCCGGGCCGTGCGCCCCGCAGGAGGCCGCCGCCGGCCGCCACCGCCGCTACGCTGTGGAGTTCTCCGAGTGGAATCCATGTCACGAAGAACGGAAGGTGAGTCTGTGGGCCTGAGGGGGGCGCCCTTCGCCAGAAAAGCATGTTCTCGACCCCTGATTTCTCACGCACAAGAGCATTTGCATTTTGCAATTTTCATTTGCACCAATGCAATTTGCATTGGGACGAGGCAATGCTCTCGGTTCAGCCGAGCACATTTTACTTCACTCAAGAACACGCCTTTTAGGGTGTCACTGACACTGACTCACCCTCCCCGTGTTGCAGTGCGCCCCGCCGTACTGGGGGAACTGCAGCGAGTGCGGCGAAGGCTCCTCCTGGAGCAAGTGCAGGCAAATGTGCAGCTGGAACTGCGCGTGCGGCTGCGCGCGGCTGCCGACGGGCGGGCTGGACAAGGACTCGCGCGACCTGTTCGACACGTGCATCCACGAGAGGGAGTGCACAGATCGTAAGAGGGACACATGTAGCACTCAATGTTCCGATCAGTTCTGTGTGGAACTGTGCCACATGGACCACGTGAAGTGTTCGTGCAGCTGCATCCAACACGCGGCGGCCAGCTGGACGAATACCACGACCGCGCCTACAAGTAGAATCACACCACCTGCGACGAGTAGCAGCACAGTGCCTACGACAGGTAGCACCTCGACAAGTAGCACCAAGGCCCCTCCCCCGGGGCCCGCGCCCGGCGTCACCACCGCGAAGCAGGACCAGCGCGCCGACCAGCCCGCCGCGGCCGCCGCGCCCGCCGTGTACGTGCTGTGGGACTCTGGGGTCGTGCTCTTGCTCGCGTGGGTGTGCGTGTGCGTCAGCGTGTGCGTGCTGGTGCGCTGGCGCGCCTCGGTCGTCTGCTGCCCGCTGGGGAGCGATAGGGGACTTACCGCGCTGTGCCGGGTGGGGCCGCCGCCCGCCGCCGAGAGCAGGCTCCCGACCAAGAAGGAGACTGACCGCGACGACGTCGAGCTGAACGCTTACGCCCAGCACGGCGACTAGACTGGCGACAAATGTGCAAAAAACTTTAAAATATTCCTTCAAGAAACAAATACAGCCCGAAAATTTTACATTTCAAAGAAGAGAAAATTGTCATGAAAATTATGAATGTTCTCAAATTAACTTTATTCGGTAAAAACAATAAACATTTGAAGCACTTATTTCTTTCTGGGTTACAAGGAGCCTACTCGGCCACGTCACATTTCTCGATTCGCGCAGAGCGCTCGTCTCCTTTGGAGCCCACAGTTGCGGCGAACTCGGCGCACAGCGCGCACTCGGACTCGGCGGCGGAGTGCCGGAAGAACAGCGTGTATGCGTTGTCGCGGACAAACAGCCGCAGCCCGACGTGGAGCTCCTTGACTACCGTCACCAGCTCCTTGACTGCCGTCACCAGCTCCGGCTCTCGGGTGTCGTCTATGATGAGGAGCTCGAGGGTGGCGATGGCGGCGAGGACGACATCCCGCACCACCTCGGGTGAGAGCGAGAAGTTCTCCAGGTCGAGAAGGCGCAGCCTGGGCAGACCGGAGAGGGCCAGCGCGACGTGACGCAGGTCTGGGGGGTCCCAGCTACTAAGAACGAGGCTGGTGAGGCTGGTGAGCCCAGCCGCCCGGACGGCGCGCACGGTCTCGCCTCGGCACATCCCGACTAGCTCGAGGCGCTCCAGCGGCCCGGAGCACGCCCGCAGCAGGGACTCCAACTGCGGAAAGGCAGGACACAGTCAGTGCTGGGCAGAGGGAGAGCGACGGGTCGCAGGTCAACCAGGTCACGGCGCGTACCTCATCATCCTCATCATCGTCCAGTTTGATAGTGAGGTCCTTCAGGCCCTGCATGCGCCCGAGTCTCGCGGCCAAGCCCGGGGCTGGCCAGCAGATAGATAACCGCTGGAGGTCAGCTGGACAGGCGTCCAGGAGCGGCATCACGTCGGGCGAGCACAGCGCCACGCAGCGCACCTGGTCGCTGCACACAGCAAGGGGGTGTTGACAACGGCGGGGGAAGGGGGGAGAGAGGGGGAGAGAGGAGCCTGCTACCCACCAGTGTGCGAACAGGGCCAGCAGCAGCAGCTCGGCAGAGTGGAGGGCCTCATCGAGGTCGAGAGAGGCCGTGTCCGTGTCGTAGCCTAGTCGCACGGTGTGCAGCCTAGGCAGGGAAAGCGAAGCGACTGCGAGCAAGCTGGTTATAGTGTATTTCGGCTGACGGAGGAAGAAGAATAGCGGGTAGAACATAAAGGTTCCTGATTAGTCAAGCCTCTACTCCCACTACACCCAGAGAACCATTTAGTAGATACAACTAAATCAGGGTTGTGAGAAACAAAATTTAGTTCCTAAAACCGACTAAAATTTAGTAACCCCATTTTTAACTAAATATAGTCGCACCAATCAAATTAAGTCATGTAGACTAAATTATTTCTTCGCCACGGATAAATTTTGGTCCCTAGAGCTAAAATTTCGTCGGTTTTGAATTTGGTTCTCTGGACTAAACGGTCTTCTGGGTGTACCAGGCTGACGTAAAGGCGGGACGTTCTCGACCAATCGGGAACGTTTATGTTCTACCTTCTACATGCTATTTTTCTTCCTCCGCTAGTCGAAATACACTATAGGCAAGACTGGGGCGAGGGGTGGGGGCGTGGGCGTGTCATCACTTACCTGCGGCCAAGCTTCCACGCGTATCGAAGCTACATTCAGATCCAGAGTCTCTAAGTTCTGAGCGTGGTCCAGAGAGGCTAAGGGCACGGCCACTGTACTTTTGAGGTGCTTCAGCGTTGGACCGATCTTTTCAATGAGGCTGGCGATGTCCATCGGGTGGTTAAAGAACAGCCGGAGGAAGCCAGAAGAACTGTAGCAGTCAGTGCAATCGTTCACTGGCGCTCGCGAGGCGGAAGGCGGGTGACGGGTACCGTCGGGGTCGGGTACTCACCTGTAGCTTCTGAACTCCGCGTATGTCTCAAAATAAGTATAGGTTCTAAGGATACTAGTACTCTCTTGACACAAATTACTCAACACCAACGTGTCAACGGGTGGCGCAACTCGTAGCAGGGCTAAGCTTCGAGCTTGTATGACCTCGTCTACGTGAGCCAGAGGGTAACAATGAGTGTCTTTGGATAGTTCCTCTCCTCCCCGGCTGCGCTCGTCCTCCCGCTCCTGCTCGATATTCGACATCGACCACATCGACTCGGACAGAAAAAAGGAGACGCGCCTAGCAGCCCGGAGTGCTTTCAGGAGGTTTTCGATGCTGAAATCAGATGGAGATGGAGAGACCCCTGAGAAATGGCACATCGTCTCGGCACCGCCTCCCTGCGGTCTATAGAAGTACACTTTGCAGCCACGAAATTTCCGTACGAGGTCTTGAAGTAACGCGGCGAAGTGCCCAGGTTGACTTTTTTCCCGTCCCACAAGGACGGAAACGCAGACACCCGCGGGCAGGCCTGTGCGACGGCGAAGAGGCTCTCGCCGTCCTCGTTCCGCAGGTAAGAGAAGATGTGCAGGAAGGGCACATCGGGAAGCTCGCACAGCGGGCATGTCTCCGCCTGCAAGCACCGTCAGGAAGGTCAGAGGTCAGCAAAGAGGGAAGAGGGAGGGGGTAGAATGACATAATAGGAGTCTCAAAAGGATTAGGATGATCATTTCCATGATATTTGCAAACCCGTGGTTCATGGGGTCTACGTATTTGGACTTCCAATGACCGTCGTAAGACTTTTAGGGCCTCACAATATATGGACCCCACCCTTCAGTTGGGCCCGCGTCCCTGACGTTGCAGTCCCAGTGCATCGCACGGTGCTGCTTCCGGAGTATACCCCACCCTTCCGCCCGCTGCCGTACGATTGGAGGGAGACGAGAAGGAGAAAACCAACGTCGTAGTCCCGCCAAGAAATATGAGTGTAACAGGGCCTCACTAACTGAGGCGTCCCACCGAGCCCATGAACGGCTGCGCCGTGCCTATCTTCTCCAGCTGCTATTATCGGCATCGATCAGTATTTACCCCATGTTGGCCGAGTCCGTCCACGGACGTCTCGCTCGTCGCGGTCACCGTCCGAGGCGGCCGGCTCGATGGCTGCGCCATCTCCATACGCAGGCTTAGTCTCCCCCTCTCTGCATCGCGCCGGAGGTTGGTCCGCCACACGACCTAACCTTACAAAAGCACAGCAGACGAGGCCCCCGCCACTGAACATACCCACATCACAACGCCAGACGCGCGCGACGGCTCACCGAATGAGACAACATAAGGCGACGCACTCCATGCGCGCAGACGTGCAGTAACAAGAAGTGACACCCACCGTCGTCACATTCTGCACTATACTGCGCAGTACTGAAACTGCACTTACTTACCGGTGACTGCTCACTTTGCCTCACCGCTGCGCCTAAACCGCGTCTCCGACGCACACAAAACCTGTTGTTGTTGGCGGCGGCTCTTTAGCTGGAAGTGCTCTAGCGCTGCAGGGCCTGTGGCCTACGATGGTGGCTGTTGTGCGCCGTACGAATACTGTATTATCGAGCTACGCCCGCGCCCGCCACCACTCCGCCCACCTGTGAACAGTGCTACCAACGAGGCGGGCAAACAATTCACACGATTCTGGTCTGGAACCTGGATCTGCTCCTGCCGACTATGCGACCCATCCCCGCCGAGCGCATGCACATGTTGCCTGGTAGGCAGGCGCAGATCTAGCGCGCTCTGTACAAGTTTATTCGTGGGAATTCTCTGCCCACCTAGTTGGCGACACTACTGGGACAACAGGCGTCCCCTGGCGGCTGGGCGCGTCGGCGGCGCTACCCCCCGCGCGCGTGGAGGCCGCAGGGGCCTCTGCACCGCCGACGGCAGAGGGCGGCAGCGTCCTTGTCGGACCGGACGCCACGGCCTCGCGCCGGCATACAGGGGGTCTACCTAGCGGGGCATGTTGAAGGTTCCCGCCGTCAGTTTGAATCGGTGGCGGTCGGCTCCTGCTAACGGCTCTGAAAGCGAGGATGGCTCACCTTACCTGTAAGCTGCCCGACCCTGTATACCGTCGAGTCGAGTGCATTGAAGGAAGATGGGTGTGAGTTAACACCTTTTCATTGCATGTGTTTGTGTTGACATTTAGAATGCTGCGCCTTGCCTTTACAAAGGCTCTGAAAGTGTTAAAAATCCCCTAGGCAGATTTAACAGCCTTAAAAGGCTCTAGAGCCACACATTCAGTACACAGCGAAGCAAGTGACTCGCGGAAGATGTGTTCAAAATATGACTAGTTCGCGCTCTTCCGACAGAGCGAGCGGGGAGGCGTTTAGTTCGAGGGGTAGTTTTCAAGCACACTTGTTGCCTCCTTTCCTTTTCTTTATTTCCTCTACTTGCCGCCGCCCTGGTAGTTCGGTATGCCTCCCTTCGAGCCGGGCACCTTCTTGAAGGTCGGCAGCGACATGGGTCCTTGAGGGATCTTGTACTTGGGCCCCTCGTTCTTCTTGGGGCGGGTAGGCTTGACGGGTGAACGCTTCAGCCGCTGCATCAGGCCAGCCTCGCCGCCCTCCGGCTCGGGCAACGCAGACACCGCCTGTTGTGACGTGGACAAGTTTGATTCGATTTGAAAGAGAAACAAAGCGGGCGCAATGCGCAACTTTTTACAACTTGACTTGACTTTTTAGAGAACCAAGAGGCCACCTTTCCTTTCAATACATTTGAAGAAGGACTAAAATTAGCACGCACTTTCAATCGCTTTGAATGCACTCAAACACCCCAAAGATGGATTATGTTTTGGGGGCGTGTTGATGCGTTTCTAAAAGGCATCAAAGTTTACTTTAGCACCCTAACACCCTACCTTCCCTAGAAGAGGGCACGCTTGGTTCCAATTTACCGACAGTTGGCTATTTACCCCCGGGACCTAGGGGTTCCCCGTCTCTGATGTGCTTACCACGGCGATCAACGCCAGGAGGATCAGGTAAGGTAAAATCTTCATGCTTGCTTCGTGTTGTGTGCAGATAGCACTACTCATGCCGACCCTTAGGACTCTTATATAGGCCTGAAGCAGTACTGTTTACGACCCACGTTTCAGATAAGCGCGGCACGAACAATAGTTGTTTATGAAGCTATTGATTTTATGTTTTCTGACAATGACTCGTAATACTCAAAGTCACGGCCACGACTGGGCCGAACGGACAGCTGCGCGGACTGAGGACAGACTGCTTGAGGACAACTTGCGGACATGTCAACTGGTATGTTGTTATGTGGTACCTACAATGTTAGAAAATAAAAAAAAGGCGGAGGAGAAGGTTTTTTTTCATTCTGGTAAAGGCAGTCTTGGGGACCATTGCGGGACTGTCTAAAAATTGTGGGATTTCGCCGAGGAAACAGTAGTGAAAAATACTGCCAAAGATTTCCCAAAGCAAACGCTTATTGTTCGGCGAAAAAATCTCCCCTTTTTCCTATTGCAAACTGAACACAACGCGGGGGCGCCACTGTTTGTGCCCCGCGCGGCCGGAGCGACAGGGAAGTTCCCGAGGCCCCCGCCCTCCCGAAAAACACTTCTCCGTCGTAGTTAATTGAATCTGCCGCGAAAGCCGTCGCCCAGCTGCGACCGCTCACCGCCAGAGGGCCACGGCGCAGCGAGAAAAAAAA